ATTATTGGTCTCAAGGACACAGTGCTTCAGACAGTGACTGCAGCCATGAAAGTAAAAGACACTCCTTGGAAGGAAAGTTATGGCAAATCTGGACAGCATACTAAAAAGCACAGATATCATCTTGCTGACAAAGGTCTGAACAGTCAAACCTATGGTTTTTCTAGTAGTAATGCATGGCTATGAGAGTTGAACTATAAGGGAAACTGAGTATTCTGGAAATGACACTTTAGAATTGTGATGTTAGAGAAAACTTTTTAAATTCCCTTGGACAGCAAGGGATCAAATCAGTCAATACTTAAAGAAACTAATTCAGACTACTCATTGAAAGGTCCAATACCAAAGCTGAAGCTTAAATACTTCAGCCACATAATGAAAATACTGGACTCATTGGAAAAGACCATGATGTTGGGAAAGATTGAAGGCAAAAGGAGAATGGGACGGCAGAGGATGAGATGGAAAGAGGATGTCATGGAAGCAATGAATGTGAGCTTGAACAAACTTCAGGAGATAGTGCAGGATTGAAAGGCCTGCTGTGCTGGGGTCACAAAGAATAGGACACGACTGAAGCACTGAACAATAACAAAAAAGAGGACAGAGATTTTGTGATTAAGTCACCAATGAATACCCTGGGATCAAAGAAAGGTGTTTTTTAAAATTCCTAATTTGCTTTTTAAATTCTCTAATATTATATTTCAAAAATTTCAACCCAACAACATATACAGTCTCAAAGGTTTGAACCAAAAGAAGTACAGAGAAAATACTTGGGGCTAGACAAATGCAGCTCTCTTCCCTCCCAACAGTGCTATAATTTATCTCGATATACTAAATCCTATCTCTATTGGCTATTGTTGGCCAGGATAGATAATCAAAAGTTCAAAGGGCTAATGGTAATGGCAGAAACTAAATAAGAAAATATTGTAGCTTGATGCAGTACACTATTTGTAATAGTGGATGTATTCCAAATCAAGTAAAATAACTAAAAAGTTAGTTCATAATAAAAATGAATAATCTAAAAACCTAAAAAAATTGCTTTTCCTAGAGAAGTCTTTACAAAAGGCATAAAACAAAGGGCAAAGAAGGAAATAGCAAATCATTCCAGTATTCTTGCCAAGAAAATCCCAAATGGTGTCACAGAGAGTCAGATATGACTGAAAAAATGACCGAATAGCAAAATAACACAAAAGGAGGTTTAAGATGAATGTAAATATCAATAGTGTTTCATGGTATGCACTTAATTTCTGTTTCTTGGTTACGCATTATTTCAAAATGAAAAGTTATCCACACAACTATATTTTGTTAAAGTATAAAGTTACTGAGCATAATCATACCATACAGACAGTGTCAAACTGGGAATTAGAAAAACTCCTATTTCAAATCTCTTAAAGTGGTAAAAGACCATAATAACTATCAATACATGGTAGAGAATTGGTGTATGGTAATATGGTACACATCTTCTCTTTCTAGAATTATTTCAGATAATCCTATTGATGGATATAACCTCTTTGAAGTAGTGAATCTATGCTATATTAAAATATCAATGTTTTAAAATGAGTGGATATTTGACTTGTTTGAATATTTGGGAAAATGCACACTACAGTCATCTCTCCTTTTGATTTCCGTTAGAATTTAAATATCGATCCAAATACTACACCAAAACCAGGGTGGTACAGAGACAACCACTGCTGAAAATTAAATTCCTGAACAGGCTGAACACTGAAAATCCAAATTCTGGAACAAGAGGAGTCAGGTTTTTGTTGTTGTTGTTATTGTTTGTTTTGTGTTTTTTTGTTTTGTTTTGTTTTGTTTTGTTTTGTTTTGTTTTTGTGAGGGCAATTGGAGTTAAGTGATTTGCCCAGAGTCACACAGCCAGTGAGTGTTATGTGTCTGAGGCCGGATTTGAATTCAGGTCCTCCTGATTTTAGGGCCGGTGCTCTATCCACTGCGCCACCTAGCTGCCCCAGGAAAAAATATTTTAATGGATATGCGAGTAATTCAAGATGAAATACAGGAGTCTATGGAATATTGTTTATAATTTATTCATATGGTAAGTGTGTCAAGGCTGAAGGTTTTAGCATTGATTCTCAGGTAAATCCTTAAGTATCTGGCTTTTATGAGGGTTTTTACAATGCTCATTTTAATTTGCTTTTACTTTCATGTATTTTAAATTTGTGTTTAAATTCCACTGACACAATGCTCTTTACCATATTATTTCCTTGCTTGCAATATTCTTATTTGAGGGAGAGTCAATAAATGACATGAATTTCATCATATCATTAATATAATTTATTCCATAAATATTTTATTTCATAACCAAAATGGTGCTGTGAAGAGAATGAAAACTACTCAAACACAGTAATGAAGGTACATAGTGATATATACATCACATCATAGAAATATAATATCTTTGGTAAATGAAAATTCACTTTATTGTTTCTTCTTCATAATATTAAAGGAATGATAGGGGAATTACTGTATCACAATGTTTTTTTTTTTCAACTGTATTTCTTCAAGCATTACAGTCATTAGAAACAGAAGATTCTTGGAAGCATTGTTCACAAGCCGAATTTAAAGAGTAGTTTTTGGATTTTAATAGGTTATGAAGATTGCATACAAAGCTGTAAAATATACCATCCAAAGCAAAAAAAAACAAAACAAAACACAACACAACACAACACAAACAAAAATCTAGTCCTCTTCTACAAATATTATTGTCATAATAAGCAAAACACTTTGCGTTTTATCATAGCTGTTGAGAAACATGTAACTTTTAATAAGTGCAAATGCTATGAGATAAGAGGCATGCTTAGGTAATATTGCATATCCTTGTCATTGTGGTGAGGTGCAAGGGAAGAGAAAGGAAGGGAAGTAAAAAGAAGGGAAGGGGAGGAGAAGGGAAGGGAAGGGGAGGAGAGGAAAGGGAAGGCCACCTGAAATTAGCCACCTGAACCTGTTGTTACTTTAAATGAGATCTATTTTATTTCTCAAAAAGAAGTCACTCATTTGGATATCAATTGACTAGTAGAAAGAAAACCATGCTTTATCCTGCAGTTGCAAAAAACATCACAGATTTTTTTTTTGGATTAATACCATTATAAGAAATAAAAGAAAAATTGAAACACAAAGAGGATTATCTGTAGAAACTTGTATGAGTAAAAAATAAATGCCTTTAAAGTTGATCTTTGAAAAAAGAGAATTACTTTCTCCATTTTGAGTTTTCCCAAAGAAAAATACTATAAATGCTTCTTGTATTTTCATAGCTCATTTTTGCATCATCACCCTCACCTTAATTTAGTTTCATTTTTTTCTTTTTATTTTAATTCTAAATAATGTCTTTGTCTTTGTTGGTCAGTAGTACTTCACATTTTTTTCCTTCTGCCCTTTCATCTTTACATGTGTATGGACCAGGTGCTTTAAACAAAGAGATTAATGTGCTGGCACACTCCATCACCTACTCTTCTGTTTGCCGAGTTGGCTGCAGAGAAGCCCCTAAGAGCTTGTGTCTCAGAGAGACTACTCAGAAATCTGTCAATGTGCGCGAGGTTTGTTTGAGATCATCAAGCTCCCACCTTTAATTGCTGCTTTCCAACACTACTGGGGATCTTGACTATTCAAGCGCACCCTTTAATCCAGCTGTACAGGAAAAATGCATTAACCTTCATGGCCCAAACCTGCCTTTAGCCCAGAGAGAAAAGCTAAATTGTTTGCTCAAGTAGAGCTAGCATTAATTTTTTAATAAATTCCATTTCATTGAAAGAAGGTTAACAATTTATGATCAGTGATGAGACAATGAAAGAAAAATGTTATAAATTTATGTTTTCTTTAAGCTACACTATCACAACATTACTATTATTCAAGGAACAACCCTATTTTATTCTGTTTTCTTTAAAATTACATAAAAGTAGAACATATAAAATAATTCCAGAGCTGTAGTTAATCTTGAAGCACTCCTTTTCAGAATATAAGCACATATACTAGAAGTAAAAAATAAAAATTTAGGTTTTGACACATGTAACTAATATACACTTACTTTACAAAAATCTACCAACTAAACAGTCCCAATTATGAATGTCTAAAACATTTACAAATGAAAATGTTATTTCATGAAACAAATATAAGAAATTTCATGGTTTCCAGGTCTGACCTCTTCCCATCTCTATAGTCCTACATCTCTAGCAGTATATAAGATATTAACCCTTGTGTAGCTTAGCAGACTGAAATATTAATCTACCCTTAAATTGACTATTTTCTGTACTTCCTCTGTATAATCAACTGATATCACTATCTTCTTGGTTCTCCATATCCAATAACTTGACTGATTTTGATTATTCTATTTCCTTCATCCCCATTTACAGTCACAAAGTTTTGAGAATCATTCTTACTTAACATCTTTTAGACTCACCACAATCAGCTCCTAGAATTCAGATTCACATCACCTAATACTAAATGACTGCCTCCAAAGCGGTCTTCATTTGGTCTCTCCACTTCTGATTACTTAACACATGTATTGCAATATAATATTTTCAAAAACAACCTTTTCATTATTTTATTCTTCTATTAAAGGATCTGTAACTCTTCATCTTGCCTACTGGTTCTGATTTAAATTTCTCAGCCTCTCCTTGTGGTCTTCTAGCAACTTCTCTAAACACAAAATCTACAGATCTAACTTCATCTCCCATTATTCCTCAACATGCACATTTTTCAGCTTGATCTACATATAATTGTTTTTCAGAGTCAATGAAAGACACCTGATATTTCCAAGTTATTATTGATTCTGAAGCTATAAATCTTTTTTTAAAGAACTTTAGTTCCTTATTTGTAAAATTAGTAATTTTATGATTTATAAGTAAGATGTATAGAAATCTCTTGTAGATATAAATGAATTGTTCATAAAGTGAAAAACCAACATTATTAATTATAGCATGAATAGTAAACATTAATACATAAATATCATTTAAATATATAGTTTTGAAGAATATGGCTATATCAAGAATATGACTTACACGTAAATTCTTAATCTGCAGCGTTCCTTGTTCTTGTAAAGATGTTCTTGGATCTCTACCCAGAAAAGTGAATCCTTCCTTCAACCAGCTAATAACAGGAAGAGGATCACCCGTGGTTTTACATTTCAGCAGAGCTGTACCATCTACTGCTAATGTCTGGTTGGCCGGGCCTTGCAGAATTATAGGTGGAGGCCTATCTGTCAAAACTAAATGATAAAGAAGATTTCAGGATATTTTACTTAATATACATTCTTATAAGGTCATCCAATCTATAAGTTGAGATTTTAAAAAAGCATATCTACTGAATTTATAAAATAGCCAGTTATTTGACCTTAATAATTAAGATAATAATTTACTGTGTTCATAATTACATAGAAAGACAATGACTTGTTGATATTGAAATGACATTGTGAGCTGTTTTTAGAAGTTATTTATAAACCATTGATTTTATTTCAAAACTACTTAAAGGAAAATATTTTCTTTTCTACTTTCACTTACTTTCATTTTACAATTGTTAATAATATGCAGTTGAATCATGTACTATCATATCCTCCTTAATTTGAGATAAGGATGTTTGCCACTGTGTTTAATGTTTCCTATTTAATAAGACAGATTACTTAACACGTGGTTCATTACTAAATAATTTTATCATACTTAAAGTGAAAAATGTTTTTTCTATACATATTTTACATATGATTGATGTATTTCACAAAAGAATCTAGGTCAGTGTTTAGATACAACATTCCATTGTCCGGTGATTTATACTAAAAATAAATTTCCATGCCTTAAAAATATTTATTCACTAAATGATTTCTCTATCTGTTACATCATAAGTTAAATACTATTTATTCTTCTATATTGGTTCTACTAAGTTTCTAAAGAAGGTTTATGTATGCCAAATTATAAAATTCTATGATACTTCCATCCTGATGTGGGGATACACATTTGACTGTTGCACATCTCAACTTCTCCAGCCTTTTCAAACTCTGATATTCTTACCTGCTCCATAATATTTTTTTTTGGTGAGGCAATTGGGGTTAAGTGACTTGCCCAGAGTCACATAGCTGGTGAGTGTTATGTGTCTGAGGCTGAATTTGAACTCAGGTCCTCCTGACTCTGGAGCTGGTGCTCTACCTACTGTTCCACCTAGCTGGCTCTCTCCATAAATTTTAAAGAGATAATTCATCTAGCATGGTGGAAGCTTTTCTCTGATGTTTTCACTATCTCAGATATGCCAATGTACTATTTGGGTTTTCTGTTGTTTCTCATGATTGGCCCCTATCTTGCCTTTAATGAATGATTCATCTCCTTTTGTAATAATAGATACCCTTAATATCTTTTATGACACTTCTCTAGCACAAATCATATTGCTAACATGTTTCAATCTAGTTACACTCATCATGTCTTTTCATTGTAACAATTAGCTACTTGTACTTTTAATTCTTCTGAGTGTAGTTCCCTGATTCACAGTTGCAAGACATCATTGGAAGAATAACAGGGCCTGGGTCCACAAATTTGGACTTTTGCTGTGGCCAGCAACTTAGGAACACTGAAAACACTGCATAATTTTCAAAATGGGATCTACTAAATGTTCTCAGCTCATTATCTAAGCATTGTATAAACAAAATATTTGATTTTCCTGTAGTTATGGTTTGGGGTATTCAAGAAAAAGTTCCTTGTTTCTCAAACACATTTTAAAATGGCTATTCAACATCCAAAACAAAAATAAAACCCCAAAGTTAACATTCCTTCCCTCAAATGGAACATTTATTTAGCCTAACATAATCCAAAGAGGCTTGTTTTAATTAAAATATCAATTTTTATCTGGTTGTTAGCTGTCATTTTGAGACAAAATTATCATTAAACGAGCTTATCTTTACTTGTAGTCACAGTATAGAACAGCATTGATATAAATCCAATGCAGAATTATTTTGCTATATATTAAATTTAGGAGATAAAGGTACATTAAACATTTATTTCACTTTAAAGTACTTACAGTTATATAATAATTGAGCTATAATAGCCATTTTTACTATTAATTGAAATAATATTCCTAATTGAAAAGTAGAAACATGACAATACTTAAAAGCATGTTTTCTTTTTCAGGACACATTTACTAAAAGCATAGGAAATACTGGAAACTTTTTACATAACACTAGGGATAAAATTATAATACTACATTTGCAGTAAAAACGAAACTATTGAAGTATCATGACACTCAAGTCATAATTGAGTAGAAGGAGATCAGCGTGGATTAGATTGGGGAAATGAAGCTAAAAGCACAATACAAAGTTAGTTAAAGATTTGTGTGTCCCCAGCAGATAAGTGGGAAAACATGGACAAGGATTGTACAAAATGAGAAGTTGAAGAAGGAGGGTGATCTCCATCTGGCGAGTGACTACATACATTGATGAAATCACATAAACATCAAAGTATCAAAGCAATTCTCATGAGTTTTTCAAACCTTAGTCTTGGGGTGCTTATTAAAAATCAAGTGGGAATATTCACTGGGCATGAATCATTAGCAATATATTTCTCAGAGAGCAAGACTTTCTTCTAAAGAAAGTCTCTGTAGTTAGATTTAAAGTAACATTCTTCTACTCTTTCTAAAAAGACCCACAAAGAAGGCAATTTTTCCATTATAATTGCCCTCAATCTTCTCATCCAGTCATAGGGTTTGCCTCTAAGAAATTATTTTTGTATTATATATTATGAAAATAATTCTGATTATACTCCTTGTCTCTTTATTTTTTTAAATTTCAAACTGGGATTGCCACCAGCTTATGCAATATTCCAACTCCTAACTTGAATGTGTCATTCTTATTACTCAAGAATATAGTTTTAGAAATGAACTTTAAAATGTAGTAATCTTTTTTTAAGCTAGCTACAAGAATGCTTTGAAATTTCATTTTAAATTCAGGAACCATGACCAAAATCAACAAAAGAAAAGAATGCAAACACTAGATCTTCCATTCTTGATCTATTGACAACCTTAGGGTTCTAATTAATTTGAGATTTTTCTATTGTAATATTGATCATAAAAACACATACTAATTGTTAGATTAGATTTCGCAGAACTTGATCAGTATGACAATTCTTTTTTTGTTGTGACAAATCTATTAATTTAAGCAGAAAAAAATAACATTCAGAAAGTAATTAGAACTGCACTAAATTTTAAAGAAAGATTATACAAGAAGAAGAAGATCCTTGATAAATAATGGTTAGATTTTAGAACACCAATTTGAAAGCTCAGTAGAATCTATTATACATCATTTTGTACAAACTAAGGAGAGTATTTTTCCAAAGCTAATCTGGGAAAAGTGACTTATATTTTAGGTTCACAAGTTTAATTCCACTTATACAATATTTATCATATTTGGGGATACCTTGGAATAAAAACAAATTCAAATATTTTGTGGCAACATGCCTTTTATTTTAAGATGCATGAATTCCTTAGATTTAGTCAGAGGGCATCTAATCAGTTTTTCCCCCTCTGTCCAAATGGATATCTCATAGCACTTTAAAACAGAATGATCAATAAAGTAATTGAAAATCTCCTGGCCAGAAGGAATTTTCAGTTTCAGCAATGTTATGGGTGAAATACTACTACAGGTTTCCATGACACTAAAGTCAAAGGTTAAATGAACACTTAAGGTTTCCAGTGATCTGTGAATAAATCTATGGTAGTCACTATACACTATAGCTCCTCAATAATCTATTATTATATTTTATATTCTAAAATTCATTATCAATATACAATATGGTTAAGTTTCTTCAGTGTCCTCAGAACATTAGTCACTATTTAAAAATGCATAGGTCTATGCTTCCCTTTCCTGTTAATACATGTATATGCACACATCAGTACAAATGAATTCATATGGAAGTCTTTTTAGGGAATATATTAATCTAACATCAGCAAAATTATCACTCAACTCAGCATATTTTATCATACTAATTCTATTATAGTAGTCTCTTCTCACATGAACTCTTAAGTTGAAAATATTTCTAGAAAAGAACTACAAGTGTAAAAATGTAACAACAAAAGTAGTGATATAGATGGCATAATTAATCAGTTGGCATGGTTTACATTCTGCATCTTAATGTCAATTTTATCTTAACTGCAAAAAAATGTGTTAAAATAAAAACTGTGGCCTACTTATTATTAAATTATTAATCAAAATGAAAAAATTTTGCTCCATAATTTTAAATAAAATTTTACATTAGTATGTGAAATTATATATCACATTATTTCTAAAATCTTGAAATTAGATTTCTCTACTTTCAAAATCAATAACTTTCATAATATCTACTCACTGTTGATGACCAAAGGATCTTTGACTCTCTGATTGCTTTCTTAAGTAAAAATCAATGTAAGAATTAATATCTAATCCAGTGGCACCTAAATGTATTGAATCATCTCAATCATAAACCTATACCACTTAGGGTCATTTTTCATTGCTTTCACCTTTTCAATGTAGGAAACAAAGCTAAAATGAGACCTATAGTTCCATAGAGGGATGACTTAAATTCAGAAGGACAGTTTTAAAATAAATTAAGCATGCTACATTCATTCCTTTAGGCATAATAATGAAAAATCACCTGTTCCACAAGCCATACAAGTCACATGAATCTGAATTTCCCTTCTTAAACCATTTTCCTATTTTAAATTCTGTTTGCATTTTTCCAATGCCAGTTAGTTATTCTGGACCTTTGTTTTTATTTCATTAACTTAGTCTATCTTTTTTATTAAAAAAAAATGGTATGTATAGCTAGACTACTACAGTATTTGCTTTGCATGTAGGATATTATGAAGACAAAAAAAGTTCTTGCATGTAATTATCTCCAACTAGATTTGTTTTCCATGTACACATATCTGGGCATTTTTGCTTACAGACTGATTACAGAAAAAAGACAGGAACTTTAAAAGATTAATAATTAGCTTTTCATCCTATAAAGAAATTAAAAAGGTACAGTAGACCAAAAAACCTTGACTGACTAAATGAAGAATGTCTCATCATGGTTATCCTTGAACCTGACTTCTCCTTTTGGCTCTACAGCAGTAAATCTCTAAAACATCAGCAGGTGCAACCATTTACATCTCAATGTCTTCTCAGCCAATGTTTGTCTGTTCTATTTATTCCAATCACAGACACAGCATTGAATCAGGCAGCACCATGGACAGATATTAAAAAATACTGCTTTCTATTAATTCTAAATGGCCTTTTAATCTACATGTAAATTTAAATTGTATGAAAATGCATCATTTTGTCAGAGAGAGAGAGGAAATGCAGAGAGGTCACAGACCAAAGATTGCTCTCAGGAGCCAGTGTAAGAAAACACAGGGCTTATAAAAATTTGAGAAGATAGAATTATCTCTCCTTGTTATAAAGATATGGACATCATCTAGGAAATGAAGTCCAACAATACATTTATGCTCAAACTTTTTCACTATGTGTATGAATTTCTCTAATTACCAACTTTGATAGATATTTTCCTGGGAGAAATCAGATCATAATCAGATCATTCAGTATTCAGTATCTTTTCAAATTTTATTGTGAATGCAAGTGGCATTATGTTCATAATTAATCTATGTATACAGCAAAAGCATTAAATGAAGTTGATTATAAAGGTCAAATCTCAATAGGGGAAACTTTTATGTCATTTCCTAAGAGTTATCTATTATATTCTAAAAATAACCCTCCCCTTTATTTATTTATTTATTTGTTTAGCATTTTGCATTCATTTTTTTTCCATTGGGAGAAGAAATAGTGTTAATAATACTTGGATACTATCCAAACAATTTTTTCATTATAACGGAATTTTTAAAATGAACAAATAATGGCTTATATGGGTTATTTGATCAGTAAAAAACCAATACATTTATAATTTAATTTCTAGAAAACAATCACTAATCATATAAAGGGAATCAAATAATGGTTCTCACCATCAGTAACTTCCAGCTGGGCCTTTGCTAAAATACTTCCTGCAACAGTTAAGGCCTGACAAATATAGTAGCCTGCATCAGACCTCTGAATGTTTGTAATAGTAAGATCTCCAGTTGGTGACACTGAACATCTGCTGCTGGGTTGTAAAGGCTGGTTTGGGAAAAGCAAGTTCTGTGGAAGCAAATAAAATTGCATCAGATTTTTTTTCACCCCTCAAATAGAAAGAACAGATTAATCTGCTTGGGAAAAGAGTAACAAAGAAGAAAAAAATCCTGTGTTTTAAATAGAATGAAGTGAATCCATAAAAAGCAGTGTGAATTTTGTGGAATTTTTGATGACTCAAAGTTTTGATACAGTTTCCAGAACTTCTAATAATAGGATAGCATGCGAAAACTAGCAAAATTTCCTTTTATGATCTAACAATGCTAAGTAAAATATAATAATAATAATAATAATAAAAGCTATGTGAATGACTTATTTAGGACCTTAAGGTTTACAGAACACCCTACATTATCCTTATCCTTATTATCCTAAAACCTTAAATTATCTCTTTTGCTGCTCACAAAATCCCATGAGGTAGGTGCTAATATCATTCATATTTACAGATGATTAAATTGAGGATGAAAGAGCTGAAGTGATTTGCCAAATTAATAAGTATCAAGTTTAGTGAGTGTGACTGAGGCAAGATTTGAAGTCAGGTCTTCCTGATTCCATATTTGGCATTCTATATACATTATAGCACTTGGCTGCCCCAAACAGAAGAAAAGTATTAAGGCTTAATTCAGAATGAAGTATGAATGTTTAAAACCAAATAATAGCACAGTAACAATGATAGTTTAAGTCAACAATGGCATATAATTAAAATTACATGATGAATATATCTTAGATATTAAAAAAAAAATCTGAGAATCTGTACATTAAGATTAAAGAAACCCGTAATACTGAAACCTTGATTTTCATTTAGTGGAAGTAAGAATAGGGCCTGTTTAACAGATCTTGGGAGAGAGTAGAATAAAGTGAAGAGGGAAATATATACCACCTTAACCTTAAATGGGCAGATTATCATTACAAAGCTTCAAAAGTTGTTTTATTAGGAAAGTAACATTAACCTGGTTAGCCAGTGTTACTTTACTATAGCTCAAATAAAGAAAATATTTGTTTCTAATCATATTGAAGTACATTTCTAGGTTGTATTATGAATAGAAGTATATCAATTTTTAGGTGTATTTACTCATAAAAAAGAACATTTTAACCCCCTGGGATTAGTTTCTTAATATAGTAATTCTTTTTCCAGGTTTATAATTAAACAGCTCCAAAACAGTACAATCAGGAGGTAATAACATTCAGTTAAAGACATAAGACACATTTTCACCTTAAAATATTTCTACCCTCGAAGTAAGACCAATAGAAGAGGATAAAATAGGGCATTAGCACTTTTCAATTACACTAAATGACTTTAATCCAGCAAATGATGTCCCACTTTAATTAGAAGCTTTACTCTTTATTACAACATGATGAATGTCCACTTTATTAGATTCAAGTGTGTCACTATAAGCCCACTTTACATAAACATTACCATATTATTAAAAGCTTTCTAAAAGGAATGATGGTTGCTAACACATAAGTTCCACTTGTTAAAACTGAAAACATTACTTCCCTCCTAGGGAAATTTTGTTACTTTAAAAGGCTGCAAATCTTTCATACAAATGGATGATATTTTTAGAAGAAAATAATTATTCTATAGACTCTAAATATGCTGCTGAACTAAACCAATCTCAAAGATTGGAACCTAAAGCCACTTGAAAATAATGCAATAATTCAAAGCATGCATTTTCATTCAATTAGATGTTAGAATACTAATTTATGTAATACTAATATATCACATGAGCTGGATACACTCTTGAGATGCCTCTTTCTACAACATCATATCAACTTACCTAATAGATTAGTTGATGTGGAAAACACACATGATTCAAGCTAACCCATCATTCTTATTATGTACTACTAAGACATTAGCAAAAGTGGATTACAAGAAAAAAACACAACAACAACAATGAAAAAAAAAACAACACGGGATCTGAGGAATTTTCTTTTCTTACTTCAAAGTGCCTGGGTGCCTATTAATGATAGGTAGCATTAGCAGCATATGTGAACGAGATTATAGGCCACTAAATTCATGATCTCACCATTTGTTTTGATGTGTGATCATATGTCATTATAAAAATTGGATATCATAGACAGTGAGATCTTTCTTTAATAGCTTTACAATTTATGAATTGATACTATTAAACTTTACCAAACACTTCTTTCCTATGAGTGAGCTGTACATATGTATGTGGTGAAGGAAAGAATAGGAAAAGAACTCAAGGGAGGCTAAAAGTCAAAACTATGTGGAAGTCAAATAGTTAAATACCTTCTTAATGCTAAATGTGAAAATCATAGACAAATATCCAGGCTAAATTTTCCTTAAATTGCAAATTTGTTTTGTCAGAGGATGAAAGAAGACTGACTTGATATAAATGTCTAAAACAGAATTCGGCATAGGCGTAGCAAAGTGAACAAGGGTTAGGCATCTTCTAATTATAGACAAAACGTGGGGGATAAGGGATTAAACAAGCTAAAGTGTGGAATGATCTAGGCCTAGGAAAGATCTGATTCAAAGGTCAAAGGACATACAGATCTGATAATAATTTACCAGTATTTAATGGCTGTTCTTCCATTTTCTCCCTAAACCTTGTTTGACAAGATATGTGACTGTCGTCAAGACATTGGTAACTATTTGGATTTGACTAGAGAAAAGAGGAGGGGAAAATAGAATCATAAGGAAGAATTGCATAAATGAAATGATATCAGGGTTTCTCCATAAATCCAAGGATTAAAACATCTGGGTGAAACTAAGTTTTGACCAAAGATGGAGGAGGGAGTTATATTGATGTAGGTTAATTACTGTATAATGAGGGATGGTTGAAGAAAAACAACTGTCGGTACTCTATGGGCCATTGTAAATCAGGCAGATATTTTCAATTTGATAATCCCTTTTTAGGAGGGTTTATTCTTAACCAACACCTCAAACTCTGGGGTCATGATTGGCTTCAAAATGTCCACTATAACTTCTTTCATAAGGGTTTATTGGTACTCAGAATTACCTTGGGAGAGGAGGGGAGACAAGGAAGGATAAAATTCTAAACTTCCCTGTGCTGGATTTGAGGAATTCCAAACTAGAACACTTTCCCTCACGTAGTCCCAGAATTTTGAGATCCTCAAGGATCTGTGAGACATTCTGTGGAATTCCAGGTTCAACCTAAGATTTAAATGAGCTGAAATCCTGATATCCCAAAGTAACTATGTCATTTGTGTTAGAGGCTGTGCAAGAACATGATGTCTAGAAGTCTGGGGCAATAAACTATCTAGGAGTCAAATCTGGATTAAACAGGTAGGGAAACAATAAATAAAAAAGACAAGGGATTTGGGACCTTTTGGAATATGATAGTATTCCATTATTTATTCTTGTTACTAGTACTCAATGTGAGGTAGAAAAATAATTTTCACTTGGATAGTACTTATACTTAAAATAATAAAGAATGATAATATATTCACTACTTCAGAGTGTAAATAAGAGCTCAAGCTGTTTTTTTTCCCCAAACTCTGGTAAAATGGTCTCTCACATGTTTGAACACACAAAAAAAGAAACTTACCCAAAGATGGTGGTTTCTTTGGTTTGAATGAATACATAGCTTACTTTCTATGACTTACACAATTGTGTTTTATTTGGAATAACCCCAGCTTTTAAAAATTAATATAGGGAAGTGATCAGGATAAGCTACACACAATCCATAAACTTAACACTTAACACAACGCCTACATAGTGCTCAATAATATTTGTTGGATGAAGAGCATTAAATCAGAATGCCATTCTTTCTATTTATATGTATTTTCTCCTATCATATTTTAAATATGAAATGAATTCACAATGAAAAAAAAATAGAAAGGACCTAACTAACTTTGAAGAGCACCAGAGGTTAGGGTTCAGAGGTTTCAAAGAAGCATTCAAACCTTATACTTACCTGGCTGCCTTCTTTCTGCCAAAAAACAGCTGGCTGAGGATTTCCTTTAGTTTCACAGGGAAATGTAACTGTTCGACCTTGAGCTACAATCTGATCTCTTGGCCTAACCACAAACTGTGGAGGAGCTATAATTTAAGAGGAGAGAAACTAAGTAAATATCAAACAGAAGACATACAAATTACACCAAAGAGAAAATTTAGTAGTCTAATATTGCTTTCGGTGCCAAGAAGATACTGGAGTTTAAAAAAAAATTCTTATTCATTTATCAAAATACACAGAACTAATTCACTTTCTATCACATTTAAGATGGATACCATTGTTATAGCATTTTGCATTACTTGTTACCACCCACATTTTAAAAGCTTTGTATGATGGATTACTGTGGCCCACAGATTTTTATGGACAAACTTTACAATAAAAGCTTTTCAATTATGTGCTTTAAGGGTGAATTATTTTTCTAATTGTCCAGGTTTACTTATAACATATTGAACATATTTCTAGAAAGTTCTTCTGAAGCTGGTACTAGCAAAAATTACCCCCTTGGACAGATTCTGAAATTCTATGAAGTCACTTAGGACAATGGTCTCCAAATTTCTTTGATTACACATCCCTATCAGTTAAAACATATGCACACTCAAAATAATTATTTTAATTACAGAATTGTACATGAATACATATATGTATGTACAATATAAAACACAAAAATATAAACTTAAAAAGATGAGCTAAAGATGAAATAGTATTTGATCCTAGAGTCAAAATCAAGAGGGAAACAGGTTTATGGAGCAGGGGTGGGACATAATTAGATCTGTTGTTGTTGTACCTTAGGAAAATCACTTTGGCAGCTATATGGACAATGGATTGGAGAAAAGAGACATTTGAGTTGGGGAGACCAATTATTAGGCTGCAGTTGAGTTGAGAAGTAAGGAGGATCTGAACTTGGTGACTATGTAGATTGAGAGAAGGAAATAGATGTGAGAGACATGAAGGTGGAAAAGATAAGATTTGGTATCTGAATTCATATGTGGAGTGAGGGAAATTGAAGAATCAAAGCCAAAACTGAGATTGTGGGAATATAGGTGACTGGAAGAACAGTGGTACCCTTGGTAGTAACAGGAAAGTTTCAAAGAGGTGTGGGTTTGGGGAAAAGATAATATGTGATGTGCCAAAGAGAATATGTGATACAGATCACAATTTATCCATTTCTGATCTTTCGATGTGGCTTATTCTATTCTGCCCAAAATTAAAAAAGGAGGTGACAACAATCTTACTGGTCACTGCCCAGAAGCATAAAGTCCACCCTTCCAGGGAGCCTGCCACAGACAGGTGATCTAGAGGGAGGGCTGGTGATAGAATTTTTCCAATGACACCTGAACAACTCCTACGAAGGATACCTGGATACTCTGAAGGGCCAAACATCTCCAGATTCAACATGGGGAAGGTTGGGAGTTTGTAAGAAAGAGAGACAACTGGGAGTGAGGTAGTCTTTGGAGATGGGGTAGGTACATTTGGGTTGTGTTGGAGACAACCCTAGGGCTGGCTATCACTGGGAGATGGGCTGGGGGGGGGATACAACCCATTTTCATACTCACTTCAAGATCCTCCTGGGAGGTAAGGCCACAGCCATACTCCTTGGCCCACCTTTTAGAGGAAATGCAGAAATAGAACCCTCCCTATAACAGAAGCTCAAATACTTTCTGAAGCCATGGTAGCTCCAGGATTTTTCTTGTGTAAATCCTAGCTCAGCCCAAGTTCCTGACTGTAGAGAAACTGCAAGACTTGACTTATTAACATTTTTTGACAATAAAAATACATCTTTTATTCAGGAGACAAATAGCAAGGTGTAGCGGAAAAAGGCAGGCCTAAGAGCAAAAAGCTTTGGATTTGGGTTCCAACTCTGCTATTTGATCAAGCTGTGGGAATTAGCACAACTTACTCAATAACTACAAATCTCAGTTTACTCATATGTATCACAGGGGGTCAGAAATCATGAAATCTTTAAGTTTTCTTCAAGTTCTTTCCCCTAAGAACCTTCCACTGATAATCATTTAATGAAATAGAAAAAAAAAATTTCTTAATTGTTTGCTCTGTGTACATAAGGAACCACACTAGGTAAACAAAGAGGTATAAGGTATAGTTCTTGCCTTCCAGAACAATTAAAAGTGTAAAACAGCATCTGGTAAATATCAACACAGTGGTACAGACTTTAGATGTTATAGGAGTTCATAAAAAGGAGAAGTCACTGCAGAATGGGACTTTTACAGAAAGCTAGAGGGAGGGGGCAAGCCTCAAAAGGGCTATGAAAGATGGGTAGTACATGATTTAAACTGAGAAAAGGAGAAAGGGAATTCTAGGCATGCAAAATGTTTAAACAGAAGACACGGAGGTCAGAATTCGCACAATACACTCAATATAAAGTGAATAGACCAATATGACTGGAAGAGATACTTCATGTGAAGGAACAGTCGAAGATAAGGTTAGAAAGGTAGGTTGAAATGACATTGTGCTAGATGTTAAATGATGTGATGTTTGGACTTTATCCGACAGTCAACAGACAAACTAAGGTATAAAGGTTTTTGAGTAGTGACATATCCAAAGGTCTAATTTATGAAGATTCAGTTGATGGAGGTGCATGATTTTGAGGAGGATGGGAAGTGAGAGAGATTGAGGTAGGCTCAAGATAAGGAAACCAACAAAAAGTCAATTACTACATGAGATTCAGACATGAGGTAGTCAGGCCCTGGCCTGGGGCAGCTGCTGTATAAAGGAAGTAAGAAAGTAGCAAATAAAGGAAGAATGTATATGACTTGGTGAATGACTGGGTTGTGGTGGTGCTGGGAGAGGAATGACAAACAGAGATGTATTCAATAATTGATATAAACGGAGGTTTACATGACTTACCTCTCTTACCAAGAACCACTCTTGTGGGAAAAAAAAAAAAAAAACACCACCGCTTTTGTCCTAAGCACTGTATAACACTATCTAATAATGTTATATATGTTTGTATTTCCTCAGTCATCCAGCATAATGCATTACCTAAAGACCCACAGAATCTGAGTTGGAAGTGATATCAGAGGCTATCTAATTAAAGCTATACCTGATCCCTTCAACAACAGCCTCAACAAGTGGTCATCCAACTTATTCTTGAGGACCTTTAGTTGGGGAGGCCTATGACAGCCTTCTGTATTTTTGGATAGCTCTAATCATGATGAGGCTTGACCTAACATCAAGCATAAACCTACTGCTCTGCAATGGCTTTTGGGAACAAGAACTAGCCTAATCCTTTTTCCATATGACAATATTTCATAACAATTTGAAAATTGTTATCGTTTCTCATATCTCCTCTCCTTTAGGCTAAAGGTTTTTGTTTCCTTTAACTAAATCACAGAATATATCACAGACTCAGAAGACCCCACATTTATAACTCTAGAAGCCTTCTAATCCAATGCCCTCATTCAACATACGATGAACTATGGCCCACAGAGTTAAAGTAGTTTGCTTAAGGACACTCAAATAGTAAGTTTAAGAGCCAGTATATGAATCAACTCTATTGCCTCCAAATCTATCCATTCTTCATTTGTATCATATTGTCTCTAGCATATTCTCCAGTCATATTATCATCATGGACGCTCCCTTCTGGATGTCCTCTAGCTTGTATGATTTTCCTAAAATAAGATGCCTGAGTTTGACATAGTACTTCAGATTCTTTCTTATCAAGGAATATAATAGCTGTCCTGTTATAACTTGTTCTGGACAGTCTGCCTTTTTAAATGAAATCAAAGATAGCTTTTTTTTTTTTTTAAGTTGCTGTGTCACACTGGTCACTCTTATTGACTTTATAGTAAGTTAAAATCTTAGAGCTCCCCCCAGCAACTTTCCAATCCTATGAAGTTGATCTTTTGGAACTGAAGAGTAGGCCAATACAGTTACCCTTACTAAATTTCATCTTATTAACCAGCTCAGCATTCTTTGTGATCAGGTCTCCTGGGATTCTGATCTGTAATTCAAAGTAGGAACTACTCCTTCCAGTTTATGTTGCCTACGTCTCCAACTAAGTCTCTGATAAAAGCAGTGAATAACATAGCTTTAAGATAGATTTCTGAAATCCCTCAGTAAAGATCTCACACAAAACTGACACTGACTACTGATCATTCACCTTGTTTCATATGCACTCATGTATTGTCACCCAGCATATACTTTTCTATTTCATCAGCATAGTAGAATGAGGACAAATTATTTCATTTTTGTCATTTTTCTACTTCAATTCAATCAATCAATAAACATTTATTAAGCATCTATTGCGTGCAAAATGTAGCACAGTGCTTGGGTAATAGTAGGTATATAACCAATGCTTATTGAATTGAAATGGATTGATAGCACAAAATAATTTATTAGATGTTTTGCTGCCTTCTAAGTATATTTCACAGCATTTACATAATCTATAATTCTTATTTTTAATAATTTTATTGATATTGTTTGCTTTATATCACTTTCATTTTCACATATATTCTAGCTCTATCCTCTATGCAGTGAATCATTCCCTGTAATAAATATGAAAAAAGAAAAAATATTCAGCAAAACCCATTAATCATGTTTGGCAGCATATACAATATTGCACAGCTATATAGTCCCATATGTGGAAAGAATTAAGGGTGTCTACCAGTCTTGTTATCCTGTCAAAAAAAGGAGGGAGTTTAGTCTGGAATAACCTGTTTCTAATGAATCTAGGATGGTTTTAAATGATCACTACTCTCCTTTCTAAGTGATCCCAAACCATTCTTCTAAAAACATATTCTAGAATTTTGTCAGGAAGAGAAATCAAGGTCACTATTCCATAATCTGCTAAAGGAATATCTCCACTCACCTTTGTAAAATCAATACATATGTTCTTTTACATTCCTGCAGCACCTTTCCCATTCTCCAAGATGACAGAGTCAATAATTACCTCTACCAGTTCTTTCAGTACCCTGATATATAGCTGGTACAAAGTAAGTATTTAATACAAGTGTTAATAAAGGGAACGAATATTGAAATGCCTTCTTTAGAAAAGTATTTAGTATCTGAATCTGTCACACTGGAAGAAAGTTTCAATTCCTTGATAAGAACAATACCAAACCTTCTTTGA